TGCCAGGGTTCAGAAAGCTCAACTTCATACCCTGAGAAGGAACTTTGAAGTTCTGGAAATGAAAGAAGGTGAGTTTGTAACAGATTACTTCAGTAGAGTGATGATTGTTGTTAATGCTATGAGGAACTGTGGAGAATCCATGCCTCATGTTAAGATTGTGGAAAAGATTATGAGAACCTTAACAGAAAGGTTCAATTACATGGTTTGCTCAATCGAGGAATCTAAGGACATTGATGAGCTTTCTGTGGATGTTCTTCAAAGTTCACTGTTAGTTCATGAACAAAAATTCCATAAGAAAGCTATTGTAGAAGAGGACCAGGCTCTTAAGGTTACTCATGAATATGGATATAGAGGTGGAAGAGGAGGAAGAGGTTTCTACTATGGTCGTGGTAGAGGCAGGAGTGGAAGAGGATGGAATAGGAATTTTGTGGAATGTTTTAAGTGCCACAAACTGGGGCACTATAAAAGTGAATGTCCAGACTGGTACAATCAGCAAGCTCACTTCTCTGAATCCATGGATATGAAGGAAGATGTTCTACTAATGGCTGTGATTGAAGAGATGCAGCAACTAACCTGTCATGAGGGCTGGTGGCTTCTTGATTCAGGTTGCAGTAACCACATAACATGTATCAAGAGTTAGTTCACTGATCTGGTTAGCACTGGCACTGGATCTGTGAAGTTGGGAAATGGAACAAAGCTGAAAGTCCATGGCAAAGGTACTATCAAGGTGAAGACAGATCCAAGATTTTATAGATCGAAGACACTTTCTATGTACCTGGTCTAAAGACTAATATGCTCAGTTTAGGTTATTTGCAGGATAAGGGTCTAGATTTTCTGATCAAAAGAAATCTTTGCAAGGTCTTTCATGAGTCAAAAGGATTAATGATGCAGCTGCATATGAAGACTAATAGGATGTTTGTGTTACATTGTGAGAAGCCTGAAGCAACAAAGAAGGAAGACATTCAGTGTCTCCATATCTCAAACACTGACACCACATTGAATCTATGGCACATGAGATATGGTCACCTCAATTATCAAGGTTTGATTGGCTTACAAAAGAAGGGAATGGTAACTGGGATTCCTTTGCTGAAAGGAAATCTTGATCTATGCTCTACATGTCTGGTTGGCAAGCAACACAGGAAACCATTTCCAAAGAAGAGTCAGTGGAGAGCAAGCATAAAACTCCAACTTCTTCATGCAGATCTCTGTGGTCCTATAACACTTGTGTCCAATGGTGGGAAGAGGTATGTGTTCACCTTGATTGATGATTTTACAAGAAAGCTGCGGGTTTACTTTCTTGCTCAAAAGTCTGAGGCTCTAAGTGTGTTTATGATCTTTAAAGCTCAGGTGGAAAAAGAATCAGGAACTGTCATTACATGTCTTAGAACTGATAGGGGTGGAGAGTTTATGTTAACTGAGTTCAAATATTTGTGCATTGAGGCAGGCATTAGAAGGCAACTCACTGCTGCCTTAACACCACAGCAAAATGGTGTTGCTGAGAGGAAGAATAGAACCATAATGAATATGGTTAGATGTGTTTTGGATGTGTTGCACATGTCTGTATACCATATCAGCAGAAAAAGAAACTTGATGATAAAAGCTTACCTTGCATATTTCTGGGAATCTCATCAGAGTCAAAAGCCTATGAGTTGTACAATCCAAACACTAAGAAGATGGTGATCAGTCGAGATGTGGTGTTTGATGAGTTCAATGGAGGGAAATGGAACTCAGAGATATAACCAGTACTTACAAACATATTTTGGGAAGGAAGTGAAGAAGAATGGTATGATTCTGATACTGAGGAAGAGGCTGCTGAAGAATCCTCAATGGAAGCATCAATTGAAACTGCTACAGAAGAACCTGCTAGTCCAATTACTTCTCAGGATGCTGGTTCATCTTCTGGTGATAGAAATAATGAAGATGAAAAAGAAACTAATGTGTTGGGACTGCCTAGAAGCTTTGATCTGGGTACCAGAACCAGAAAGCCTCTAGCTCATCTTGACATTTATGATCTTAACTACCATACATCAGGATGGTATGCCATGGTGGCCATGTCGGATGATCCAGAGACATGGGAAGAAGCTATTTAGGATGCCAAATGGAGGGAAGCCATGAAGAAAGAAATAGCAGCAATCATCAACAATGACACCTGGATTCGAACTACACTACCTGCAGGAGCAAAGGCTATTGGAGTTGAGTGGGTTTTCAGAATAAAGCTGAAGGAGGATGGCTCAATTGACAAATTCAAGGCAAGGCTAGTTTCAAAAGGGTATTCTCAGCAACATGATGTGGATTACACATAAGTGTTTGCTCCAGTGGCTCGGTGGGATACCATCAGAACCTTCCTTGCACTGGCTGCTTCACATGGTCTGACTGTGTATCAGCTTGATGTAAAAAAGTGTTTTCCTACATGGAATACTAAATGAAGAGGTATACATTGAGCAACCTCAAGGCTTTGAGGTTGCTGGGGAGGAAAGCAAGGTATACAGGTTGAAGAAAGCACCTTATGGCCTAAAGCAAGCACCTCGAGTTTGGTACAACAGAATCTAGGGCTACTTTGCTGACAATGGCTTTGAGAGATGTCCATATGAACATACTCTCATTGTCAAGAAGACTGATTCAGGTATACTCCTTGTAAGCTTGTGTGTTGATGATGTGATGTATGCAAGCAACAATTCTGAGATGATTGAAGAGTTCAAAGCTTCCATGGAAGTTGGGTTTGAAATGAATGGTTTAGGGAGAATGAGGTACTTTCTGGGGGTGGAGGTTACTCAAAGCAATGTTGGGATCTTTATTAATCATCAAAAGTACATCAAAGAGGTTTTGTATCGTTTCCAACTCTCTGATTGTAACTATGTGCTAAATCCAGTTAGGGATGGCAATGGGTCGGGGCGGATAGTGCATATTCGTTACCCTACCCATAGTAGTTCGGGTATTACCCATACCCACATAAGAAACGGGTAGAAAATCAAAACCATGCCCCATACCCGTTCGGGTTTTGGGTATCCACGGTTATCCATGGGTAATAATTTATGTTTATAAATTCACCTAGTATGTTAATATTCACACATATTCTCACATTGCATAAGAGGAAAAATACGACAATAATTCATTAAAATGAAAAAAAATTAATTAAAACAACACAATTTCATGAAGATAGTATATTTTTATGCTTAATACAAAATATGTTAGAGAAAATAATGATTATATCTAGACAAAATACATATGCACATGTATAATCGGGCGGGTCCGGGTTGGATAGTGAGAAAATCATGCCCACCCATTACTCGCAATATTCGGGTTCGGGTTTTGCCCATACCCAGTAAAAGTCATTCGGGTTCGAGTTTTACCTACCCGAGTAGGTCGGATTCAAACGGGTATTCACGGCTACGGATATTTTTGTCATCCCTAAATCCAGTGGCTCCAGGTCTCAAGTTAAGCAAGGCAGGGGATGGAGTTATGATCAATGCTACTGAGTATAAGCAGTTGATTGACAGCTTACTGTACATCACAGCAACTCGTCATGATATCATGTATGTTGTTTGTATGCTCAGTAGGTACATGGAATCTCTAATCAGGCAGCACATGTTGGATGTAAAAAGAGTGCTGCGATATTTGAAGGGCACAAGAAACCATGGAATCTGGTACAAAAGATATGTTGGGGAGGATTATCTAACAGGGTTTACTGATAGTGATTATGCAGGTGATGTAGATGATAGGAAGAACACTAGTGGCTATGTATTCCTCCTTGCTGGTGCAGCAATTTCCTAGGCCTCGAAGAAGCAACATGTGGTCACTCTATCCACTACTGAAGCTGAATATGTTGTTGCATCTTATTGTGCCACTCAATGCGTTTGGATAAGAAGAATCCTGGAGCAGATGGGTTGGATCAATAGTGTGAAGGAAGGAACCAAGATCTATTGTGACAATAGTTCTACAATTAAGCTTTCAAAGAACCCCGTGTTACATGGAAGGAGCAAGCATATTGATGTAAGGTTCCATTTCTTGAGGAATCTGGCAAATGAGGCAATTGTGGAATCGGAGGCATGTGGGAACCCAGGGGCGGAGCTACATTGTAGCTAGGGTCCCCCCCCCCTCCCCCCGCGGGTTTGGTCTCGGCCCCTAGGTGTTTAAGGATATTTAGTACAAATTTTATAAGTAGAGTTTGATCAGTAAATTGTGTCATGTAATAGTTATGTGGTCTAATGGTAGACAAGCTTGACTTGTGTCATGTGAGTCCTGGTCTGTCGTTTAAGGTTGCATAGTAGTTAGTTGACTTAGTTAATCTGCTTAGTGGATTGTTAGCTGATTCTCAGGGAGAGGTGGTTAGTGGGGAGTCGAATTCTTAGGCTGAGAGTCAAGTATATGTACTCCTTTCTTGTTTAAGCAATAAATTGTCTGATTGCAACCATTGAGTTCTTCATACTTTGCATCGATCTACATACATTAATTGTTATTGGTACCACAGATCAAAACCTACAGGTTATGATCTTAACGATTATTGGAGTTAGAATGTTCAAACGTTTTAATTATTATTGGATCGTTTTTACGGTGATCGGTTTATATTACAAAAAATGTGCTTTAAGTTCTTTTTTTAGATTAGAGTTGGCATTGATTATTCACCTAACTTGATTATTTGTGGCTCTCTTTTTAGCCAGCAAGGAAGGAAGGAGGGAAAGATCAAAGAGAAAGACATTGAGGGGACAGACGACTACAAGATTTGCTCAATTATGGGGAACAATTTAACAATAAGAAACATAGAACCCATCCCTCCTAATGAATTGATGGCCGTATCCGATTTTATCTATCTATTTTTGTTCCATGTATTTGTACAGTTCATGCACTCAAAACCCTAATTTCTTTAATCTTACCCTACATTATAATTTTGGATCCACAAAATAATACGGTTATGTTATATTCTTCCTCCCAACCCATGCATGTTCCCAATTTCACTTCCAAACAAAGCCACCACAAAGACCACGATTCTAAGCTATTATACACTATTTAGATTTCTGATCAAACGAACCCACAAAAACATTCCCCAAAAGATTGCGATAATTAGGGCTTTTCTAATTATTATGTACACATAACATGGAGGAATTATTTGAAGGATCAATGTTTCCTTCCCTACACAATTGTGTGGTTCAAGATATCCAAGGCTTGATACTAATGATCATAACGTGCATCACATAGATATTGCTAATTAATTATTAATTAACGGAATTGTATATTGATGATTGTTGTTAATTTGTATAATGATAGTCATTAGTGTTATCATTATGTATTTTTTAAATTGGTGTCGTCTTCAATTTGCCTCCAAGGAGAGCTAGGAACTAACAAGCACTAATCAATCCCTTGGATACTCAAATTTTTTTTTTATCAAAAGATGGGACGCTAAAAGGGCGTCCCTGCCTGGCACATTAAATTAAACGCGATTGGGCAATGCCCAAGGTATCATACAGGATCCATAAATTAAGACCCGGATCGGAAATATCAAAGTCATGAAAACCAAAACTAGCGCTATGCGCTCTACCGGCGAGAAAGTCCGCCGCCTTATTACATTCTCTGTAAATATGAGAGATTTTAATCTCCCAGTCTTTTTGGAGGAGGTGCCCAACCTGAGTGGCAAGGTTATAGAATCTATCATTGTTGTGATCCTTTGCCGTGAAGAAAAGATAAGTCGTCATGGAGTCCACCTGGAGATGAACTTTCCGATAGCCTCTGGACCAAGCCGTTTGGAGCCCTTGAATAGCTCCTTTGATTTCCGCTCTTGTCACTGTACTCACTCCCAAATTTCCCACGAACGCTGCAAGGCATCTACCGGAGTTGTCCCTGATGAGGCCTCCAGCTGCTGCAAGTGAGTCTGGCTGGCGAACCGATCCGTCCGTGTTAACAACAACCCATCCGTCTGCAGGTGGCTCCCAGGCAAGGTCAGCTCGCGATTTCTTCTGCGGTGGAGCATGGAGCTTGGCGTCGTTCTCCTGGGCCAGCTTAATGGTGCTAGTCCAACTCTGGATACGATACGCCAACATTGAGGCCTTCTGGAACTGCTTCTCGAAGATCCACTCGTTACGTCTCTTCCACAGGTACCACGCAGCTACACCAAAGATGGCGCCTGTCTTCTCCTCTTGCAGATGCTTCGACATCCACTCTGCAAAACCCAAACCACAAGTCAGAGTAGTCTCCCCTATTCCAAGTTTTTGCCATACCTCTTTTGCCTCTGGGCAGTCGCGGATGATGTGTTCCGTAGTCTCAGCTGCCTGCTTGCACATGTCGCAAATGTCGTTGGTGCAGAGCTTCCTCCTCTTTCTTTCACTGTTGGTCAGCAGGCGATCATGGGCAGCAAGCCAGAGGAAATGCTTGATACGGTTGGGCCCCTGCCATTTCCAAACGTGTTTCCAGTGTGACCGTTTTCCATTGACAGTCTCCTCATCTTGAATATCTTCTAACCATTCCGCAGCAGCAGTGTAGGCAGAGCTAAGCTGAAAACGACCATCTTTTTCCCTTCCCCATAGAGTGACATCTTCTCCCAGCTCCAGGCGAGGAGCTTCCATACCTGCGATAACAGGAATAGCACTGTTAATAACCAGAGGTGAAATTTTTTGCCAATCCCACTCACCTGTGGCCGTGGCCATGTCAGCCATTGAAGCATTCCAGTCAATATCCTGGTCCGCCACAGCGATATAGTCCTTAAGAGTAACCCCATCAGCTAGCCATTGGTCGTGCCAGAAGTTGATGCTACGACCGTTCCGCACATCCCAGACTGTCTCTTGTTTCATCAGCGGCAAGGCCTTACGAATACCCTGCCAGAGCCGAGAAGTCGCCTTGGACAGGAAGGTAGTGGTACCCCTGGCATCTTGACAGACATACTTCCCTTGAACCACTTTCACCCACAAATCATTCTCATTATTCAAGAAAGTCCAGCCAAGTTTCATCAGATATGCAAGGTTAAGGGCTCGGGCAGAACGGAGACCCAGCCCCCCATCATCTTTGGACCTGCAGATGGTTTCCCACTTCACCAGATGCACTTTAGCCTGCCCTTCCTCGCCTCCCCAAACAAATCTACGGATTTTCTTATCAATGACATCACAAACGGTCATCGGAAGCACTGCCGTTTGCATAACATAATTCGGGAGGGCGTTGAGGACGGAAACGGCTAAAGTGACACGACCTGCAAGGGATAAGTTCCGAACTTTCCAACCAGAGAGCCGTTTATCCAAGTTCTCGATGATGTATTTGTAGGTGTCCTTTGTGACCCGGCCGTGTATCACAGGGACACCGAGGTACTTCCCAAGGCAAGTTGTGATCGGAATCTCCATCATCCTGCTGATTCTGCTCTTGATGCTGCTACTGGTGTTCTTAGAGAAGAAAATACATGATTTCTCTTTGCTGATCTTCTCGCCTGAGGCCTCACAAAAACGATTGAGGCAATCCATAATAACTTTCCCTTGTCCCAAGTCAGCTTCAGCCAGCAAGACCAGGTCATCTGCAAAAAACAAATGCGTAAGAGGAGGGCCATTCTTAGTTAACAAGATGGGTTTCCAATTCCCTTTAGCAACAGCATCTTTAATGCAGTGATTCAATCTCTCAATACACAAAGTGAAAAGGTAAGGAGATAGGGGACATCCCTGACGAAGGCCACGGGCTGGTTGAAATTCCTCAGTGCAGCTACCGTTCCAGAGGATTTGGAACCTGGTAGTAGTCACACAAGCCATCACAATGTTGATGAAGTCCTGAGGCAAATTGGCAGCTTCAAGAGTGGCTCTTGGATACTCAATTAGACATCTCTCATAAAGGGTTATAGGTATAATATGCTCCTCTACTATGACATTTTATCAAACATGCCCCTCAACTATTTTTTACACCAAACATGCCCCTGTACTTTGTAAAAATGATCAAACATGTCATTTTGTTAAAAGTTTCATCCAAAAACCGTTAACTAAGGCCGAACTTTAGTTTGGGCGACACAAATGACTAAAATATCCCTAATAAATTCACTTTAGAATTTTTTTTGTTCTTTTATATAATCAAATCGGGTTAATTGCATGGTTGGTCACTGAGATTACAAGAAACGTTCAAGTTTGGTCACTCGAAATATTTAAATCCATTGGTGGTACTTCAGTTTACTGAAATCGTTCACCTTTGGTCACTCTCCGTCCAACTCCGTTAACTTTTGCTGATGTGGCAGTCAACTCTCAAAGTTGACCGTTAACTTAGTAACGTGGCAACTAAAAAATTATTAAAAAAAAATTATTATATTTTCCACCTCATTATTACATTCATTAAAAAATAAAAAATTATATTTCCCTCAACCCATTTTCACCAAAAGTCAATATCTTCCAGTAACAACAGCAAGAAACCAAAGAAAATCCCACCGGAAAAAAGGCCATGAAATCCGCCACCGCTTCCTCTTCCTTCTCCTTTCTCCGATCCGTCTTCCCCACCGCCTCCGGAACCGTCACCATGGAGCCGATCGAGGACGCGGTGGTGGTGGACGCATCCGTCGACCTGTCTTCGTACTGGGAGTTCATCAACGCCTCCGATGCCGATTCCAGCGACGAGAACAGATTCGTCTCCTTGCACGACTCGTCCGCGCCTCCATCTCTTCTTGGGCTGGTGATCGCCGCCGCCGCTGCTCCTGAATAGGTTGAAAAAGACGATCAAGAAGAAGGAGCGGTGGGTGGTGGCGTGATCGTCGCTGCTACCGGGGATCTGGGTCGGGCTTTTGTGGAGAGGCGGGTTTATGATCTGCACGCCGGTCGATTGTACGCAGAGGAAGAGGTGGAGGAGGGGGAAGTAGAGGAGGAGGAGTACGACGAGCTTGGCGACATATTGACTTGCTTCCCTCAGTGATTCTATCAGTAAATCTACCTCAACCGTCTTTTTTAATGATTCCTCTGCATTTTGATCGACTCAACATACCAAAGTTCTCCAATTTTAAGCAATCCGTGTTCCATAACTTAATGAACAATATAGTTCAGCTCATCAAGAGCAAGAACCACCAAACTGCCAAACTTAACAAAGTACATGATGATGCTTCAAACCACTTTGGTAGCTGGCTTATCGGCAGACCAGATAGAGAGCGCACTAGAACGAACTAAGAAACAAACTACAGCGTGTGCATCGCCGGACTTCATTGAAGTTTAGGTTTCCCCCTTCTGTTTTAGTTTGCAGGAAGCCTGCTCCAGCGCGCGAGCGGTGGGAGTGGTTGGGAGAGATGGCTATGACGATCCATCCTCGTTGGTGAAGAGATGGTGGTGGTGGTGGTCCTCTGTTTCCGGGTCGGTCCGCTCGAACCCAATCTCCGGAGCGGGGAGAAGTGATTGTTTGATTTGAAGAGAGAGGAGGCACGCTCCAGTGCGCGTGCGGTGGGAGTTGATGGGTGGGACGACGGTCCGTCGTCGTTGAAGTGGTGGTGGTTGGTCTGGTGGTAGTCGTGGTGGTGGACGGAGGCATGGGGAGCTAGGGTGCTTGTTGTTGTTCTTGCTGGAGGCGATGGCGATGGCGGGCGGCTGCGATGGTGAGGTTGAGGAAGAGGAAGAGAGAGGTCGGCATCGGATACGCCACTTTCAATTTTATAATTATAATAATTTTGTATTTTATTTATTTATTTTAGGGTAAAAATGAGTTGAACATTAAAATAAATTAAATTAAAATTTATCAATTATTTCTTAATTGCCACGTCACTGAGTTAACGGTCAACTTTGAGAGTTGACTGCCACATCAGCCAAAGTTAACGGAGTTGGATGGAGAGTGACCAAACGTGAACAGTTTCGGTAAACTGAAGTACCAACAATGGATTTAAATATTTAGAGTGACCAAAGTTGAACGTTTTTTGTAATCTCAGTGACCAACCATGCAATTAACCCTAATCAAATCATTCAAATAATTTCACTTTGAAAAGACCCAGTGAAATAAAACAGGGGACAAAACTAACATTTTTCCTCCCATTTGCCGATGTTGGGTCGTCTAAATCTCAATTCAACCATGATTGACGATTTTTTAATGAAAATTTTAACAGAAGGGCATGTTTGATAATTTTTTCAAAGTACAGGGGCATATTTGATGTAAAAAATAGTAGAGTGACATGTTTGATAAAACATCATAGTTAAGGGGCATATTATACCTATAACCCCTCTCAGAAAATAGTTAATTAGTTTTTGCAGAGGATCATAATAGAATTAATTGGCTTGTAAGTTTAAGGAAAATAACAATGTCGGCCGCGTGCTGCTCCAGCTTCGGGATTCCCCCCTGGCCCTGTGTTAACGATGGGCCGCCGACCTTTACCGTTGGAGACGGTTTATCTTCCACAACTAATTATTTGTCAGGCTCAGGAGTGAAGGTTCCAGCTTTGGAAACTTAACTACGAATGCATTTCAGAAAAGATTTATACTATTTTATCGAATAGGTTACGGTGACAATCTCTTTAAGGTTTAACTGTTTAAGAGATTGTCACGCTGACTGAACCTACCTCTATTAGTTTTATTTCCCCCCCCCCCCCCCCCCTTTTTTTTTAAACTGATGGTCAAAATTGTTCCATTGTAATTTATGGAACAAAAAAACTTACCACATTTGATTGCTACCTTCTTCTATATCTGGAATGGGTTTTTATGATACTCCTCACATTTGAACTTTAGATTATTTGCAATTTGGTTACTCTATTGTAGGGAATGTGGGTGGCAGTACCTAGTGGTATTGGTGTGGTACTATATACTAAACCAATGTTTTAGAAACTCTACCGTATCGGATGGTCGTACTAGAAATATCGGATTCCAAATAATAGACAATTTGAGCGTTACGAAACGGTTGAACCATGATTTTAATACAAAAATACATTACCACTAAATTTTTCCAGTACAACTTCCGGTACGGTTTCACAATCAATATTTTATGCGTATTGCCATACCAATGGCCGATTGATGCACACACAAGTTGAGGTAAACATGTATAAGCATAACCAACCAGATTGGTCCTCTTCAAGCAAGTTGTGGAATAATCAGAGATTTGTTTTTGCTCGTTTTGGCAGAAAAATCCGATTAGATCCCATTTGGGTAGAATATAAAGGGAGAATTTGGTATTAGGATCCAAACAATGATTCAGCTGAGGATTTTCTTCTGTTAAAGTAACAATAACAGATCATAGCACAGCCAGCCAGGGGATCCAATATCGCCGGAAATTATATTTGCAATATAAATGCACGAGGGAGTAATTAATGAAGAAATGAACAACTGGAGGGTATAAATATATAGGAAAATGAAATGATAGAAAAATATGGCCAATTAAAATTGGTCATTTCCGTTTGTCCATCCATCATAGCGACAATTGTGCAACAACTTATTAGACCCCAAATTTTCTTCCATCAAGTATTTTTCTTTTTTCAAAGCTTAGGTTGGTGAAAGGGTTGAATCAAAATAAAGTCTTTCTAAAGTAAAATGGGTTACAACTTACAACCCATTTTAGGCCATATTGTCATGTGAAGTTTACAAATGAGACCCATAATTTGAACTATTAATTCATCGAATCCTTTCTCTTTGAGTTGTTTTCATATATGGATATTGCTATATTTGGCTCCTTTGTTATAATTTGTCATAATTTCGTTGATGATGACTAACCGTTTGTGTGGTAAGCTTAGTTGTTCACCTCGTAGGCATACGGGAAAAAAAAGTAAAATCTAATTTGCTAGCTTCGATTACTTATACGTTGAAACGTGAATAGATTAAACTTGTTCATGAATATTTTATCTTTTTGAATCATCACCACCATTACCATCTCGTTATATTGTCCTTTGCTTGCAAGAGACTCTCCATCGCCTATAAAACGTGAAACAATTGGATATGTTATGGTATGATTCAAGTACCGCATCAAAGATATGAGAGAAAGAACCATTGTATATTAAAATCCACCTAGCTCAGTTACTAGAAGTCCTTTTGAGAGGATACTTAAAAGTAAATTCGTACAAGTTTTGCTCGAACGAACAATTGTTGATATGACTTGAATCGGATTATCAGCCGCTACGACTGGTAACCGGGGGTCTCGCTGCCCGGTCAGCGAGTGGGGCCCACGGTGTATGGGCTCAATGTTATTTGGGTTCGGGTTCTGGGCCTGGTCTGTAACCGTTTCC